GTTACCAACTGTCTGCTTGTTTCATTAGAGAAAAGTGGAAAATAAGGAATGTTTCTGTGATGCAAATTTGTCTTCATTAAAGGGGAATGGTAAAGTCTTCATTTGAGACTGTTATACAGAACCAGCAGCTGGCAGTTACTTCTGATGAAATAACCTAGAGTAAAGGTAAAAGGTTGAGACCTCTTCAGGTGGTCCAATTATACTACCAAGTATAGTAATGGGATCTCATCTACTTTAAATGTTTAATTTGTTATTACCAATTAATATCAAAAAATATGAGTCACTAGAATTACATCATGAAGAGGATTAAATAACACAATACCAAAAAAATCGCTGCAGCGACTTATCGAATTTCCTTTCTGATCGGCTTTCAAACATTTGCAACAAGAGCGAAGCGCACGGCACGGCGTGGGTTAAGTAGAAACCGACGTTGGGGAAGTAGTTCCGGCCCGCCCGCCCTCTCCTCCCCTTCCTTGTCCTTTGCAAGACGCGTCACCCTGGGTGTGGAAGAGAATATCCTTGCGCAGGGTTGCTAAGGGTGAAACTTTTCATTTACTTTGCTCACTTTGGGCCAGGGAGAGGGTGGCTTCAGGTTCCCTGCGGAGGGAGGAAAGGAAGGAAGAAGGGGGCTCCCCAATCAATATCCTCTCACCCCAGTTCTGATTTGGCCTGTAGAAGGGGGAGAAGTTATCGAAATAGCATCCGTACAGTTTAAAAATATATATCGAATATATACCACATCAGCGCTTTGTGAAAAAAAAAACTCCCAAGAAATACCTGGAAAGAAAAAGAAGCCACCAAACCACCTTTCCTGGTGCTGAAAAAAAAAAAAAGGAAAAAGGAAAAAAAGTAAGTGAACGCTTATGGCTAGAACAGGGAGAGGGTGGGCATAATCGAAGAGTGTTCTCCATAGTAATACTATTTACATTTCTGTTTAGAGAAGAATGTGTTTTTGACCGAGGTTGCCTTCTCGACCCCCTTTCCTATTCAGGCTTCCTTCTCCACGCTGCTCCTTTAAAGGGCGATTTAATCGGAGCGTCTTTCAGAAGCCGCCGCTCTTCCAAATCGGGTTCTGAGAAGTCATTTCGGGGGTTCCTTCTACGCCCGCCTCCCCCTCTCCGGTTCCCTGGGAGAGAGCGGCTCTGCCTTTACATGAAAATCTTCCCTTCTAGTAATATTGTTTCCCTTACACCCAGCAACATTGCTGATATTATTAGTTTGGAGGAGGAGGAGGAAGGCTGAAAGCCATTTGGCTTGAACGATTGAAAAGACTCCAGTTCACCATTTTGTCTTCGTTCATTTTATTGGAGTCGTGATCGGACTATCAAAAGATATCCCTATAAAACAGACTCGGTTTAAAGAGAAAATACTGCGGAAGAGCCTGTATCCTTCGCTTTTTCTTTTAAGGATATGTAAATATAGTGAATACCAAATAATGGAGGGGGTGGGGCGAAGGGGGTACAATGGAAAATCGGTGGGGTCGAGGAAGAGAGTTTATTTCGTTCCATTTAGCTTAATTCGGATCAATAGCTAGCGCGGCTTTGTCTAAAAAATGGTTCCATTCCTTTTATACTCGAACTTTCTCTCCTCGCCGCCTCCTTATGGTTTCATATGTCACAAACACAGATCTAGGGGAAAAAATAAGATGCGGGTTCTCCACCCCCCACCCCCGCCCGAAGTCTTAAGAGAGGTAAACTTGTTCTCCGTGATTTAAGAATTGGGTGCAGAGGGAGCCGGAGAGGCTCACTGAAATGAAATAGCTGTAGTCGTCCCTGCAACAGTACTTTCCCGATGTCAAAAGTGCACCTTCCGGCTTCCATCGACTCCCAACTCGTGAGGTAAATTGGACTCGGGACTTCCCTTTGGGCCACAAAGAGATCCCGGGGCCTAAGCAGCGTCTTGGACGCCGCGCTGCCCTGGGATTAATTGTTTTCCCCCGAAAAAGAGAGGCGGGGGCGTCCCTTTAAGCCCCGAAGGAAGTTGAGGGTAGTCGGTTAAGCAGGCTGGCTTTTAAAGAAAGCCCGGCCATGCTTCCGAGAGGAGCTGGGCTGTCCCGGGTTTCTTCCAGGCGGTAAAGGTCAAGGCCCAATAACCTTCACTCGGTCACATCTTCCGTTAGGCTCCCTTTTTTTTTTTTTTTTGCCTCCGGTGGGCTTTGAAGGCGTGCTTGTGTGGGTCCCCTTAACAAACACGAGGGGGATTAAGGCATAAGTGTATCTCGACGCTTCTGTGGGAGAAACGGAAGCCTCTGCGAGAGGGCCGGCAAAAAAAAGCTCTGTTGCTCTGTGGCAAAAACCCCCAGTGGCTTCTCCTCCCCCAAGCAAGGCACTGGGAAGGCTACATCTCGAGACCTTCTGCCCTGCCTCTGCGTTTAAAAGCCTAGAGGGGTTTGTTAGGGAAAGGATTCATCCTGGGGCTTACTTCTAGGTAAACAGGATTGCACTGGGTGTTGGGCAGACCTCTTCCTTACAGGCCTCCAGTAAATGGGGGATGAAAGATTAGGGTCGGAGGAGTAGGAGCTGCTGTGGTTTGCCAAGTGCCTGAGATTTCCTCAGTCGTCGTCCTCCTGCCCCATAAGCTTTCCCGCACATGGGAGAAAAAGGGCGAGAGGAAATCGGTTATTTTAGATGAAATGCGAAATGGCAAAAGGGGGGGGGGGGGGGTTGAGCAATAGAGCGCAAAGGGCGCATGCGCCATGGAAAATTTTACACGGCTTCGCTGAGCAGGCGCTCGTCTGGGCCAGCTTTGGCGCAAAGCAAATTGAGAAGGGTAGTTAAAAGGCAAAGTAGGTCACTTGCTCGGGCGTTCCATTTTGTGATAGAAGTTGAGATCATGAGGTAGTACAGCTTTGGGGACACCCGAATTGGGAGGAGGCCACGAAAATGTTTGCAGAGGTAGGGTCATTAGGGAGGCTTCTTAAGCGAATCTTGGCAACCGCGCTTAGGTAGGGGGAGGGGCGGGCGAGCCACCAGAGACCGATCGGGAGAGTAGATCCCTCCGGAGAAAACAGTATCAACTTTGCACGCGTGCGGTGGCTTGGGAACGATTTGTCTATATAACGCCTACGGGGGCAAGGGATTTTGGCAGAAGAGGCGCTAGGTTGTGCAGTCATGGTTGGAGAACATTTCTGCATTTCGCCCCTCCATTCTTCATAGTCTTTAAAGCAGATATTCAATTTCTGGAAATAGCGGATTGGTGTGATGGGTCGGTTGAACCAAGGTCCCTGTTCTGTTTGGGAGTCGTCTGCAAGCATA